AATATATACCTGAACTCTCAACTTATCTTTCAGTTCCAGGAAATTCTCCGCCTTTACTGTGAGACATTTTACATGAGACAACAACAACAAGCAGGAGGAAGTGAGTTCGATTTGTTGTTTCAGTTTGAGCGGTCTGGGTCACTGTGTTACATTTAAACAGCGTTATACAGATATACACATTATACAAGGCCAAAAAACAACAAGCCTTGAATTTAAATGCGTCCGCAGACAAACATGCTGCTCACCAGCACAGTGTTGGTAACACCTACTCTGTACTCTCCATACGAGAAAACTTGTTGGAGGCTGCGATACACATACCAACATTTAACCAAGTTTTTACCACAGAAATGAAGTGCAGTAATGAAAACTTTTTAAGATGCTGCACATCAGATGGAAAATTATCAACAACAACAACGATAAAAGTGAAATTAAAAGCTAACTCTGACATCTGAAACATCATGGCAGGATCTGAGCAACCATTTTTATGCTCCTCAGATTAAATGCTCAATGATGTCGATGAGTAATAATGTAAATATAAAATGAAAAGGACTTTGACAGGATTTTAGATAATAATGGGGTTCACTGAACTCCAGAAATAAAACAGTCAGTAGAATATATAACTACTCTGTCACAAATACAACCAGATCACAGAGAAGGACGTAAAAGTAGTAGGGGGGTAGTTGTAGCTCAACTGGAAGGTTGGTGGTTTGATTCCATGCCAAATATGCTAACCCCAAGTTGCTCTCCTATGCATTGGATGTGTGTGGATGTTAGACAGAAAGTACTATGTACTATGTGTTGGTGTGAATGGGTGAATAAGGGATATTGTATAAAGTGCTCAGGTAGAGTAGAAAAGTACTAACCACTCTATTTAGCCTTATAAAATACAGTTTTTAGGCAATGATTTTGCTCTGTGCAAAATTGCTGAAATGTGTGGACAGTATATAAAAAAGGCTGTAATTCAGTGAATGGCACTGAAACACATACTATCACTGCAAACAGGCAGCTTTATCATCTCATTATGCCCCTCCAAACTCACAGGCAGGTATCGCTCACATCAAGACAATAAGACTAAGCCGGTGATTCAGCAGGGATCCATGTAGGGGCGCAGCAGAGTGAAGACAGAGATATGACTATATAGACTATGATGACTAATACCAAGGCACAATGCTGAAGAGAGAGATAGTAATACAACAGCTGGGAGCTGACTGTGACAAAATATGCATATGGGCCTTGTCCAAGTCAGTAAAGTACTTATATTAAAGTGTTCTAATTAAGCTCTGTGAATATCTCGTAAAAGCATTAACCTCACTAACTGCAGAGGGGATTTTAGTGCTTTTACACTGAAGAAAAATGTGAAGCAGGGTATGTGAATGCAAAACAGTTTTTCTTTTCTTTTTTCCCTAAGCTAGCTCTACTTGTCATAAAAGCTGGCTGACACAATAGCTACTTACTGCTTGTAGCACACACAAATACCAAAGACTGACGTGCAATCAAACAACTGACACACTGACGCAAGCGATTACATTGACCTTTTCACACAGGCACACACATAATCAAATAGCTGCAGACGGTGTTAGAGAGATACTGACGGGAAACGTAAGAGAAGGCATTACATATCAATCCTACGGCAGTAGCATGAAGAATTCTCATATCACAACATCTAGATTTACCACTGCACAAACTATAGAGGAGCTGCCAGTCCACTGTTTACTGCCATGTATCACACAGCAGGCTGGGGCCAGAGCTTCGTTAGGAACACTCAGCACTACGAGTTGCTTCACTTTGTATACATGACATCTGATTAAAGCGTTTTATATCCCACACCAAGTCTGACTGTGATCCCGGTGGAGGAGCCTTGATGCTGATTTGTCCTCATCTAGCAGCGTGATGACATCTAAAGTACATGATCAGTTTCCCTTACTGTAGTCACAGTATAGTTACAGTTGTGTCATTACTTGTGCTACAAGGTTCCTCAGTTATCTGCACAATAAGAGAGAGAGAGAAAAAAATCATGCATGCCTTTTCCACGCTGTGCACATGTAACGTAGTCAGCTGATTTCAGTTTGTGTTCAGGGAGGAGGAAAATAGTGAAGCAATGAAAAACTGAGAATGCGACAGTAAGTGCAGACTATGTCCAGGCCAGAAACAACTGCTGATAATACATCAGCTTGTTGCAAGCAACTGCACAGGCAGCTAACGCAAAGCTAGCAGTAAACAACCCAGAGTGATGTTAAAAGTATGACCCCCACGGCCAGCAGTAAGAGCCTCTTTACGATAGGGAGTGTGTCAGAGAGTGCAGCCAAAGGGGCATACTGGTCCCTGCATGTCGGCACATGTTACAGAATAACTCAAACCTCATCTAACTAATTGAAACAGTAATAGCATTAGCTTTCTCTGCGTAAGCACATTAAGAGTCACTGAATCAGTGTGACACTGGTCCAACCACACCCACTAGCAACTCTATTGTTTCTCATTTCCACACAACGACAGGGAACTGAGAGAGTGCAGAAGACTACTTTAGATGCAAAAGGCATCATAAGCAGAATGATACAGATTCTACTTTTGATCACACATTCCTCACTCATTCATCACTCATGTCAGACCAGTTCTACATAGCCTGACGTGAGCAAAAAAAGCAGCAGCACAACTGATCCACAGAGTTTCCCCTCATAGCTTGTTATGTCAGCTTTAGCCGCAGTGTTTCGAGAGAAGCCCTGCTGACATTCTTTTCCATTACAGCCTCACGCAGAAGAGCTGTACTGCTGTGGACCTGCTTGGTACCAGAGCCAACAACAACCAACCAATCTCCTCCCCTCTGTGTCTTCTGCAGTGAAAAACATGTCCATTTGTTACTCAAATTCTTTCAACCCTAAATATGTACTCAAGGGCTACAGTTTTTCAAACATTAGTTCTAACTGAACTTTAATTTTTTCGATTTAAAACATATTGGAAACTGTGTCAAGTTACTGGCTAATACAAATCAAACCTTTACTCCTGTTGTTGCTTCATATTTAACAGCTCTACACTGGTGAACTGCCCCAATGATTCGAATGTGGGGTTGGGGGGGGGAATTGGTGGAAGTGCACTGTGGTAAACTGGTGCAACCCCATCAATCATGGATGCAGTAAGCGCCAAATCACATCAAGCATCACCTCAAGGCCCTTTACACTGTAAGGTAAAGACCCTACAATAATATATAATAACAGAGAAAACCCCAACAATTATATGACCGCTTATGAGCAAACGTTTTGGTGTGGGGAAGAAAAACTCTTTTTTTAACAGGAAGAAATCTCCAGCAGGACCAGGTCAGGAGTGGCCATCTGCCGCGACTGGTTGGAGAGAACAAAGGAAGACAGGATAGACGTGTCTGTTAGCTTTCAAAACTCGAGCAAATGGCTCGTCCACTCTGAAATGGTTACAGAGCTTGTTGAGAGGTAGTAGGAAACAAGCAGCTAGCCAAACGCTGTCAAAACAGCATACTTAACCAGAGTGCCAATAACGCTGCGGCTGACCCAGATTATGACCCACTACGACTTACAGGTTAATGAACTGTGTGAAGTACAAAAAAAGAATGCAAAACTTTGCTTGTCATTGTGAAAATGAAAGTGTATTGAGAAGTTGACATGGGTGACAAACAGTCAAATCCAGGACGAAACTAATGTCATTCACCACCAGTCGAAAGTGTTTTCACTCAGAAGTATAAAAACTACGTGGTGAGTAGTAAATACGGTCACCAAAAGGTTGAATATATGTGAACGTACAAAAAGTAAAACAACAAATGTGACCTTAAGCAAAAATTGGGTGAAGACCCACCATGTAGTTATTGTGTATGTGTTTCACGTACACAACCTGACCAACACTGTAGGAGGATTAAGGTTGGGCGATATTTAAAATTTTTCCAACTGGCATTTGTCAGTCCAGTAAATGACGACAGGCGATATAGACACCAGATCTGCACATTTAGAATTTATACGTTTTGTTTGGAGGGAATATTTTACCTTCTTTTCTTGTTTGTTTCAGTATTAATATAGCTACTTTTTGGATTATTCATTTATTTATTTGAGATGCGCACAAAAGACTTAACTTTACGTCAGACATTTTTTTTTTTTATGTTTGCTGGAAGAGACATTTTGATTTTTACCTTTTTGTTTAATTTTATATTTGTTGTTTGGTCGAGTGTGTGAGACAGATAAACACTGGAACGGCCTGTGAAAAAGAAGCCAGTTACTCTTTGTTTCCCTCCCCACCATTGTGGGTTTTTTAAATTTAAATAAAATGTTTTAAAACAGCGCTATTATTTTTTCCGTTGACTGCTTCTCTTAGCTTCAACCAACATTATTAGCAAACTTACTTATGGGCAAAAAAAATAAATCGGTCACACGTTTAACATTTGATGTTGTACCATTCCCATTTATAGAAAATGTTTGCTTTTGCCTCCGCGCTGCAAGGATTCAATAAACTTGGGGAGGTCAAGAATTTTGTCAACTGTACAACCACCCAACCTACCCAATTGTTTTGCGTGGCCAACAATCCAAAAAGTATTTAGCGGGGCGATCGTGGCTCAAGAGTTGGCAGTTCGTCTTGTAATCGGAAGGTTGCCGGTTCGGTCGTTGCGTCCTTGGGCAAGAAACTTCACCCATTCACTTCACTTGTTGTTTACTGGTGGTGGTCAGAGGGCCCAGTGGCGCCAGTGTCTGGCAGCCTCGCCTCTGTCAGTGCGCCCCAGGCAGCTGTGGCTACAATGTAGCTGCCATCACCAGTATGTGAATGGGTGGATGACTGAATGTAGTGTAAAGCGCTTTGGGGTCCTTAGGGACTGAGGAAAGCGCTATACAAATACAGGCCATTTAAACTGGATTGGAAATTTAAGACAAGCCAATCCAGAGCCACAACAATTCTAATTTAGCAAACAGCAAAACTGGACAAAACTAGATAAAAGTCTGATCACTTAGTATGTATGCACTTCGTAGTTGGACACCTAAGCAGATGAAAAATACCTTGACATCTCGGTGGATGACATTGTTGTCGTGGCAGTAGCGTAGCGCCTCGAGGATCTGTCTCATGTAGTGACTAAGCGGGGGGGGGGAGAGAAAGTGCAAGGTCATTGTTACATCAGAGTTAAGTGTTTGTGTAAATCATGGTTGCAAATATTGATTCAAATAATTTTAAAAAAGCATCAGGAAGCCTTTCAGGGAAGTAAATCAAAGCCATAAAATCTCACCTGGCCACGGCTTCACTGTAGACAAAGCCAGCGTCTGCCCTCTTCACGATCTCAAAACACAGGTCCGCTCCATCCATACTAACACACACAGAAATTAGAAGAGAAAGAGACTCACGGTGAGAGAGGGTCAGACTAGCATGAAGGTCAGGCCACAAATACAAGTAAGAAGAAAAGGCCATTCTTATTAAAACTTCAAGTGCTGCGCTTCTTTGTGATTGGCTGTGAAGGTGAAATGGGAGAAACAGGTCAGTAGCAGTAATTGTGTTTAGCGTCTGCGAGTTGAGGTAGGCACAGCTGGACCAGCTCGCCTACATGTAGCACAAAAAAAGCTGCTATGATGCTGGTAATATTTCTGTAAGCCTCTGCTATGCTTCAGCATTCTCTTCTGAAACTATTAAGAGTTAGGAAGTAGAAAAGTGTATTTCATAGCACCATTATTGGGGGAGGAGATAGCTCAGTAGGAAGATCGGGGGTTCAAATCCTGAGGTACCCCTGAGCAAGGTACCGTCCCTACACACTGCTTCACTGAGTGAATGGGTTAAATGCAGAGAGTAATTTCCTGCAGGGGATTAATAAAATATACAAAAACATTTTACCTAAACCTTATTTGAAACCCTGAGGGAATATTTAAATACAGTAAAAGACCCATAAAATATTACTATAAACAGATAAATACAGAGATAAATGAAGCCGATCTTATCTCATGAAAAAAGGTTAGCTCAGCAGGTCAGAGTACCCCACCAAGAACATCAAAGCAAGTACAGACAGTATATAAAAGATAATATGTAGTCAGCTATACAATCGGACCTATGATCTCGGTGAAGACTTTCCTGATTTGTTTATGGTCTCATTCACCAGTTTTAAATCGTATCTATCACTCGATGTCCTATTTAAACTAAAACGAAAGTGAAGCAGGTCGTGATTTGTTGCCTGGCTACTTTTTGACTGACAGGTTGCAAACGTATGAGCATGCTGTGAGTTTCTCAGTCAGACACATCGTACACTTAGTACATCTGATTCATATAAACTTTAAACTTGACGGTTTAAAATGACCGTTGAATGATGCTGTGGTGGCTATGTCCATCTTTTGAATACAGTCTACGTTTTTGCTGTATTTTCACCTACTTTTTCCCGTGTAGAACGTCTTCTGTTTGTAGTACTCGACTTTTCTGAATGTTTGTAAGTGTTTATCCAAATATTAGAATTCTTGATGTGACTTCCTGACTTGATGTCAGGGATTTCTGTAACATTGAACAAGACATACTTCTTTAATAAATGAATAAATAAAAATTAAATAATATAATATAAAGAGGCTCCACTGCAAATATTCACAAACCGCTTTGTAATAAATAACTCAATTGTATTTTCAGGAGCCTCTGGATTGAATCTCCTGTCCCAATAAGGGATTTCAGCTCCGCCTAAGCCATGTTGAGCTGCCCTATCAGTGAAACCCATAGCCATGTAGACTAAGAATTCAAGGCGTGTCATGGATTCCATGTTAGTGAGTGCTACGCTCCATAAGTGACTTAAATTTCATCTTCAAATGGTAAGCACGAGGCTCTGAGGAGACTTTGTGCCTGCCAGTTTTCTTTTCTTTGTCTTCTCCATGGAGAGACTGCACTAGAACGTATAAGAGGAATGACGAGCAGTCTGTCCATGTCTGCATCAGCAGACAGTCTCTGGTGACTGTACCTAATGAGCAAATTCTACGCAGTCAGTGTTGGGCCTCAGGTAGTTTGGATCAAGTGACTGGATGATGACGTTGATAAGCTTCAAGCAACAATAAGAAAATAAGAAAACTTATGATTGTCAAATACTTAGGAAAAACAACAACTTGCTAGACGTATAATTGAAGGATATAGAGCATTACTGGTGGCGTGGTGTAGCAGAAATACTTCTAAATGTAAAAACTACCAGAGAGATGGTGATCAGCTGTCCCACAACAGCCTGCGTCTATCCTGGGACAGCACATCAACACACTGTACTGGAAGACTAACACAGAGACTGTACAGAAGAAGGTGACGAGCCATCTCGATTTCCTAAAGTCGTCGAGATTCTTGAAAATGTTAGAGATTTTCCATCAAACTGCTGCGTACACTTTGCTGTAGTCTGCTGAGTCTGCATCAGAGCAGAGATGTAGAGGAGGACACTGAACAAACTGATATCCATCACGGATAGTCCTGACAACCTTCTACACCACTCAGTGGACAGTCAGCACGTTCTCTAACAAACTGATTCAAGGCTTCTGAATATCTTTCATATCTCATCGAACAACTCTAACAAATATCAAACAAGAACTTCCACCAATGCAGCGCACACTCTGAGCAGTATTTACTTTTAGAAAAACGTTTGTGAGCAGGTAATGAATAATAGTAATGATTTGTAAATGACTGGACGTCAATAACTTATTATTATTATTTAATATTACACTAAATTATGTTTCTAACTAACTAGGCAAAAACACTATGTTTAAAGACAAACTTTATACAGTATATTCTATATGTCAATACCACACTTGCAAGAATCATAGTTTTTATCATTTTTTTTGACCATTTTTAACCAATAAATCATGAAGCTGACCTTGAAGATCTCAGTGGATGTAATGCACACACAAATAGATTGTTAACATGAGCCCACTCTACACACCTACAAAGTTTGATCAGAATTCATTCAAACATTTTTAAGCTCTCATGTTTACAGACATAATAACAAATACTACCAAAAACATTCAGTCATGTCGAGCAGCCTAACAGTGAATACGTCCTTGGAGGAGGTAATGACTCTTACACGGGTGTGTGTAGTGAATTTTTATTCTGCTTCTGCTTAGTTAACTGTGAAATACATTAATATTTTTACTCTGATTTTACTGCCTTGTATTTATTTAGAGTTTAGATTAGATTTAGTTCCTGGTTCGGCCACACTGCATTCTAATTTATTGAGCTACATACTGGTCAGCATATTTAAGCTATTTGTTATACTTTTTTTTTTTTAATCTGCTATAACCAAATTTGTGAACGGGGAAATTATTTCCAATAATTGAAACGATTTCCCAAAATCTGGTATAAATAAATTGCTTCTTAGATTTTCCCATTGAACAAGACTAGACTTGTTCTGCAGCTTATGCATAGAGAAAACAGGCAAAACTGCATGCTGGTGCACATTCATTCTCTTGAATGAATTTGGATGGGAATGAGTGAAATGAAGGATTTTTGCTGACTGTCACATAAAATCGGTTAATTTTATAGTCTACACGCTAAAGCGAGGTTCAGTTTTGTAAATCATAAGCAATCATGTTCTTTTCACAGTGATGATAGCATTTGCATGGAGCTCCCCACTATGATCCAAGTGTTCAGGAGGAGGAGCTGTTGCTGTAATGGTGATGCATTCATGAAAGCCCTCTGGAGGGATTCACAATAACAGCACGGCTCTAAAAACCGACCGCTCCTCAACCGAGCTGAAACAAGGCTCCGGCCACAGCGTCTCAATGCACAGGAAAGCGGTGCGCTCGCGATCATTAAGCTGCTGGGAGCAGACTTTAAGACAATTAGGCCTTTGTGCACAGGCTCAGTCTTCCTTAGGTGGCTGTTTTAAAAGACACACACATATACAGATGATGGAATGACAATCATCAAATGCACACAACTCGCACACAATTGCAGCCAGGCCATTTAGCCACAGCTGATCCCATCTCTCATAATTGCTCTGTTCCCAATTACTGGAAGCCTATTCTTTATTGTCACTTAGTCTCTGTGCCAATTAAACAGGACTCTGATGTAGGACTTGGCTACAGCACATCCATATTTTTCTGCACTCCTATTACCGCACCACGTTCACATTTTAGTCTCTGTGATTAGTGAGGAGTGAGACCTGAGAAAAAGAGCGGCATGAGGCCCTCCACATTTATCCACTGCATTTACTCCCATATCCATTCCCCTCTCCAAGGCCCGTAGCGCTCCGATATCTGCCTGTGGTCTCATGAGCGTGTCAGTGTGTGTGTGTGTGTGTGTGTGTGTGTGTGTGTGTGTGTGTGTGTGTGTGCAAATGAGCTCCAAAAACCATGAAAATCTCTTTAAATGGCGCTCGTCTGCATATCCTTGAAAGTTTTCTCCCGGTGCACCAAGCCATGTGATAGAACTACGCACGAAACCCGAGCGTTCGCCTGCTCAGCGATAACAGAATTAAATGATAAAGGAATTAGTTCTGGAAGAGGAGAAAGATGAAGATACGGAGCAGGCTGGGAGGAGCTCCAGGGGATGATGCAGCTTTTGGAAAAGCTGGAAGTAGCAGCAAGTGTGAAATCTTAATCTCATCTTTTTTTTCTCCCCCCTCCCCTCATATATATATAGACTGCACTCATCCTCTGCACACTGCCCCCCCCACAAAAAAACCCTCATCTAACAAGCTTTTTCATATCAGCTTTGATTACATAAAACCACTGCAGGGTTCACTTTCTCTCCACGCCCTCCTCACACTGTCATCCTTCTGCTCTGTGTCCTCTTTCCTCTGTACCATCCCCACTACGCATTCCCTTACAGATGTGCCCCACTGTGACACTCGTCCCCCATTACCTATCTTCAGCCTACATATGTGTTGGTGTGAGGAATTTTGTGTGTGTTTGCTGAATCACAGCCTGGGACTTACAACTCAAACACCATGTAGAGCATCCCATCTGAGCTGTAGGTCTCCAGCAGCTCCACAATGTGGGGGTGCTTCAGCATGTGGCAGATACTGGCCTCCCTCTTCAGATCTGAAAACACAGAGAACAGAGAGAGAGAGAGAGTTTGGAGATGAGCAGAAGTGGTGCAGTGTTGTATACAGAGTGTAACATTAGGCCAATACTTTTTGCAGCTGAAGACAACTGTGCATTTAGGACAGGGGTGTTCTTTTTATTTCACTAAAGGCCACACTGGGTTCAACTTGATGGGGGAAATTAGACCCCCCGCATCAAGAGCAAGACACACAGTATTCAGCTTATTGATACCCTGTGATTCTTTTGAAAATTACACCACCTCGCGTGCAATTCCATCCAACCAGTCAGCTGCGTACCCTCAAGTAAAATCAAAGCATTTTGTAAATCAAGTCTCATATTGCCCTTTCACAGGCCTGAAAGTGACAACTCAGTAGGTGTTGGTTTTCATTAAAAAGTAAAAATGAAAAACTCTTTGATCACATATTTCACATGTAATATACAGCCTAACCTTCTGCCCTCAACAGGCTGCACAGAAACTTTCTGAAGCCTGTGTTTCCTGCCCACGACTCCAGATCTCTGCTGGTGTGCTGATTCTAACATCAAAAGCATGCAGCAAATGATGATCTTTAAAAACAGAGACCGTTGCGTATGGACACATGGATCTCTCTGTCAATGTGACTGATAGGAAACTTTTCTTTAAACACTTTACATATCTAAATATGTAAAGACAAAACAAAAGACCAACAATGATTGACTTTGCACATCCTACTGATGTGCAATGTACATTTCCCAATTAACACCAGTTATCCTCACAATTACGTGCTTCAGGCGTGGGTGTTAGCTCCCGTGACAAGCCCGTTTCTGAATGTGCACAGCCTGCATTCTTGATGAAGTCAATTTTGTTGTGGGCGCCTGAGCTTGACTGAGGGCTCCATTATAACTGCCATGTGGCGCCTGGCGAACGGCACCATGTGACAAAGTTGACTGTAAACCAATTTATAACTGACGTCACATCCACCGTCACAGTCACTGCCACCTCTCCTTTGATGACTTATCAACACAGAAGACAGAATTCTCTGAAGCAGTCTTGGTGGTTACAAATTTAAAAAATTAATACATTTTTTTAAAACTTTAAAATAAAATAAAAAATGGTTTGAAGGTGTTGTCTGAGTGGCGACACCTAGCCTGGATAAATGGGATGGCGTGTGTTAGATGTAAAAACTGTGTCAAATCAAACATGCAGATCCATCTTCTGTGTCGACTCATGGAAAATAAAGGAGTAGCTGTACTACCTAAGAAGTACCATTTAAGTAGAAGAGATTTTGCCCTCTGGCCACGCTAATTTAAGAAGAACCTAGTCTTAAAAACGGGATATATTTTATTATTTTCTGTCACTTTTATAATACTACAGTGGTGACTGTTCTCATTAAACATTTCCAAGTTTTAGGTGGCATCAGTGTAGTTACAACTGATGTGAGCAGCAGGTGGCTGCCCCTCCTCTATTGGTTCTGCCAATCAAAAGAGAGGTTTTCCTTTCCACTGTCACCAAGTACTTGCTCAGAAGAAACTCCTTAGAAACTTCAAATGGAAATACTCTGTTTGGTATAGGATTGTTGTCGGGACAGAACGCACAGGAGACGCCAGTCACCGTTAGCTCGCTCGGACATTTAGCTGCTCTGTTGTCATGTGGCTTAAAAGATTGATGATATGATCTCACTGAAGTGCACATGTGCATTCGCACATATGGCTCTATCTTGAACGCTGATAAAAGTGACAGCTGCAGCATATGTGTGAAGGTGCTATGGTGTCACCAGTTGATTGTTTTCTTCTGCCTGCTTTGGCTTCACCATGAAAAGTGAACACCATCTCATCTGGTTACTCCAGCACCTTGCTGGCATGCAGAGCAATGCCACTAGCAGCATTTTGAGAGAAATGTATAGGATGTGTTTTCCCCTTTGTTCTACGTTTCTTATCAGGGATGAGATGCCTTTTATGAACCACATCTCTGTGACACGTATGGCTGTTTGTCTTACATTAATCTAGTAACTGAACCTTTCCCGTCTCTCTGCCTCGGCATTCGACGTGAGCTTGTCCACATCATGGTTTCAGAATCCCAGAGGAAGTTATGTAGCTTAGCTGCACTTGTGTAAAATGCATAGAAAATGCATTGCTGCATTTGGCCTGAACTCCAGAAATTGGCAAATTGGTAAGTCTCTGCTCTCCTTTGGTTCAAGTGCAGTGCAGTTTGTATCTATCCCATTATTTTACATCCTCTTACTGCTGCTTGGCAATGAGCATCTACCACTTTAATTGGTTCCTAATGAAGAGGAGGGTTAATGGAGAGGGTTACTGAAGCTGAAAAGAACAATGCGGGCTGGCTGTTTAGAGGAACCGCTGGGGAGAGATGACAGACAAAAAAAAATGCACACACAAAAAGAAGCCAACCAAAAAACAAGAAAACCCCCACAAACACACACAACCATACAAATCCCTCCTCCTCATGAGATTAAGAACAGCTAAAAAAAAAAAGACAACTGGATATTTGATGGAAGCTTTGACAAGAATGATGCGCACAGGGAGGAGAAAAAACAGCTCAGACAATCAATATTCTGTCACTGTGTCTGTTGCAAATGAAAATGGTTCTGTCATGTAGATGGGATGGAGCAAGGATGGAAGGTAGACATGAATCTGCAGCATATTGGCGGACAAGAGGGGACTTGCATGAAAATGAAACGACACAGTGGCTACTGAAAGGCATCTCACACACTCCTTCTCCCTGCTTCATTTCCCTTCATCATCATTAGCCTGAAGATATTTTTTGGACCCCCCACCCCCCACCCCAGTGCCATTCAAATCAGGCGCAGCTCCAAATCTGTGAGGCAAATATGAACAACCTTAGGCTTTTTCGCTAATGACCCCTTTTTCCTTCTGCCTAATCATGAATCTAAATGAGGCAATTAGTGAATAACAGCCTTAAAACACTGTGTCGTTGTATCCATCCTAAAAACTCTCATCAGCTAAGCTACCAAAATTGCATGGACATGAATTGCTCAGGTTCTGATGGCAAATTGAAAATAAATATCAACATCACTGTATAGTTGCCGTTAGTGAAAAAGCCCCACAAAGCCACTCACGCAGACACAGTGAGAGGCAAGAGAGGGAACATTTGCATTCATCAGGTGGGCAGTGTTGCTGGCTGCGTAATCATCTGCTAATAAGTTCGCTGTATCAGCTTAAAAGGTGACGTGACACGTCAGTGTTTTGTTCACCGCTTGTTTCTGCCATTGCAGGTTATGAAATTGGATTTGACAAACAATGGGGATTCGCCTTGAGTATGAACATCTGAACATCTCTTTCTATCTCTCTCTCTCGTCCCTCCATTCAGTTTCCCGCTCCTTTGATCTATTCAGTCATGCTTGGCAGCTGCTCTGAGAGCTTCTGAAGGTTGAAGCCAACCAGAGAAATATACATGATGTACGTAACCCTTCTGCATGAGCACAGTCTCAATCAAGAGCACTTAACTGTATTAACTGTTAAGATCCATCTCTAACTGAAGCACAGCCAAGCTGAGCCTATATATAAACACTCGAGTATGTGGTATACGAGAGCTAAATATTCCCCCCAGTGAGATATTTCCCCAGCTGTGGCTGCTGGAGGTGATTTATGGACAGGAAGACTATATGGTGAAAAGGGCGAGGCTGAGTAGATGCTTCTGGTAAGATGTCATGAGCTAGCTCACAATCACCACACACCCACACACCCCAGCTATGACAAAAAGTTAGCGTATTGTTCCGTCATGTATCCAGTGACATTTAATTAAGCTCGGAGCTGAAGCCACAAGCCACTTGTGCTGCTGTGAGCCTGAGCACCAACATTAAGCCAACCCTTGGAGGACAGGCGCGACGCGTCAGCTAGCTCTAACATGATGCTAATGCCGCTAAAGCTGGGATAAGTGTTACCTTAAGGGCAATGCGGTCCGCCACTTTTAATGTCATCTGATGAACTGGGCTGCTCATGCCCGGCACTGTAACTCCTGCTGGAGATTGCAGAAGTTGCCTAATCAAATGAACAGCTGTTGTCACACCAGTTTTATCCAGCTCAAAGAAAAAAAAAGTTAAAGGAAGAAACTTCTAATTCGTTAAGTTTGGCGTGCGTGCATATGCAAGGTGGAACAATGCCATCGATCCTAAACGATCCAAAGTGTAAACGTGAGGCAGGACAGAGTAAAAGACTTAATGACTTAAAATGTAAAAATAAAAACAAAACCAAAAAACAGAGTGGAAAGATAAGACTACAGATAAGGTGTAGAAAATTGTAAAGGCAACAGGGTGGGCCTATGGAAACATACTGAAATTAAAATCAATGGCATATGAAACTCCTGAACCCATCTTAATTACTCTCCCAAGCTTCTTCCAGTGCCTCAGATAAATAGATGCACTATTTCCCCAAACATGAACTCAGTGAAGTGGTAGGAAAATCAGGTGGGGGCATTGTCCGAAGTTCTCCTTTCATGTAGCACACACTTAGCAGGCCACAAGAGCTAAAATGGTTCATGTGGACAGCTGTAAATAAAGTACTGTGTGGAAATGAAAAAGCAGTGGAGGGCATTCTATGCTGAGGTTGACTCTTATACCATAAACAGCAAACCCAGCTTAAAGCTACTCCACAACCTCCCAAACAATGCATCAGCTCCACTTCATTTCACACCATATTCTGACCTGCAAGTTTCATTGCTATCTATAGCAGCGGGTGTCACTTGCTGCAGTAGATGAACGTAGCTCACTCAGAAACCTCTGCATCACCAGTAAATTCCTCCCCGTAAGGGGAACCTCTGAGCTCCTGCACTGATCTCACTGATATGATCATACGTGCACTGAGGTTTTCAACCTGTCCGTGCAGCAAGGCCAGCACAGACAGGTTACAAAAACATAGGTGCACAAACAGCTGGGAAGGGGGGGGGGGAGTCTTGGGGATAGAAGCTCCTCTTGAGTCTCTCTGTCCTTGCCCGGAAGATGCGGAACCTTCTACCAGATTGCAGAAGTTGGAACAGTTTGTTG